TCATTTGAGGAAGATGATGAAGCAAATGAGCTAAAGTCGATAGGTCACAATCGTGAAGAATTAATGATCAAATCGATGATGACGAACATGATTGTGTATTGTTGATTTTAAGCGACCACAGTTCAAACAAACGAAGTCTTTTGAATTCATAGAGAATTTCGAAAGGAAAACTATTTGTTTCGACAAGAACAAGACACTCAAGGTGAGGAAAATTGTGTTCTTGAATTACGTTAAGTTGAGTTGGAATAAGTTGACGAAATGTCAAGATGCGAAGATTTGAATAATTGAGAATATTAATCTTATTCACTATGGACGAAGAAAAACATTTATGAGCTTGAAGAGAAACAACTTGTAAGGCAAAATAGCGAAGAGATTCTGCATCACTAGAACTTTGCCATGAATATCACCATTGCTGCTACCATGAACTAAAATAAACATAAGCTTTGATTTAATTTTGAGAGAAATAGATTTATCATTTACTGCTTTGGTTTAATGTAAAATTTCCGAATGGGCAAATTATTTAGAATGGTAATGAAGCGCCAAATGAGATTTAACCAACCGTAGAAGAGATTCGAGATGGATAGGTAGAAGAGAATTTCTACCAGAAGCTCGTCGAGTAACAATTTGAGGCTTGATAGTTTCAATGATGATAAATAATATCATAAAAAAATTGTGTACATGGACATAAACATGTTTATAATTCTGTGACGCTCGATTTTCTCATCGTATTTATAAGATAATACATGCAAACATTCTTCATCAATCGTCAACAATGAACATTTTCGTCCGAACAGTTAGTCTGAAACAAGAAGAGAGGAAATTCGAATTCATCTCCTTCGCTCTTTCAATATGGTGAAATCAATGAAACAAGTCTTTGTCAATGTTTGAATATGTCACATAGATATATCACCGATTAGTTAATTTCGAAGTGGTCTTGGTGACACTCATGAGAGGTCGTTGTTCATTATCGATACTCAAGCAATACGCATCGACCAGATTTAATAGGCAACCTGCTTCATTTCTTGTTCCAACATCTACAATAATTCGTATATATATCGAGAGAGTAACTTGTTTTCAGCTATAAAATTTTAAAATAAAACTATTTGTCTTGTTACGGTTCTCAAATTAGATATTTTGTGATATTCATCATCATTAACAAAAAATAAAAGGATATTTTTTTTAAAGCTTATAACTAGGGTGTGGGTGTGAGTTAAGAGAGCAGTCACACCCACACCCACACCCTCAATGTTCTTCTAATCTACTGGCAGAAATTTCGATATGTCTACAATGGCTCCGAACGGTTTTTGACATGGAAGTTTCTGGTCTTGTCAAGATCTATCATTTAGATGATGAAGTTTCTACAATCCAGAAATAGAGAAAATTTCGTACTGCATCTCACTTCAAGAGTAGGTCAAGATTATCCTTTGTAACTCCTTAGTTATGTAGAATCTAGTATCAAGATGTATCGATAAAATATTCGTTTTAGCTCATTTTATACAAGTCTCTCTGGCAATAATAGCCAAACATTTCATCGTACTCCACTGATACATGGACCCTAAAGTAGAAAAATAACAGCAAACTATGTAGTATAATTGTGACACGTTGGAAATCGAATTAAGAGCGCTAAGAACCTTCCGAGGATAGTTTTGACAAACCTTCAGAGTATGATAAAGCAGAAATTCTTTTATTTTTCCTTGGGTCGCAAAATAGTCAGAATAGCTGCATCCTGTTCAGAAATTTTACTTCGTAGGGATTGGTCTGAAATCTTGTTCTTCTTTATCTGTTTCTATAGAGTTTCTCTATTTTGGCATTCACTTTCCATAAAATTTAAACGTCATACGGCTAAAAATTCTGTATTAAATTTTTATACCTATAGGAAGCTCATCAGACATGAAAATAATGAACCAACTGTAGATTTTATTTATTATCTTTTTTTCTCTACGAAGGATACATCTAATCAATGGTCCTCCTGACCAAAAGTTATCAATATCAGTAAAAATAGTTTCATATGCAAAAACTCGAATGACACCTAAACCAGACCAACCGTGTACCGTTACCGGTTGTAACACTGGTCGTCAATACACCCAGATCTTTGGAATCGATGCTGTTATGATTCCAATTACTTATTAGCCATTTATAAATTATTCATTATGTACATCTTGATGACTCATCGGTCAGGCCTTACCATTAGTAATAACACATACAGATGTACTTAAATAAGAGCTAATTAGTTACCAATAAGTATGTGGGACTACAACAGTAACAACTCGAAAGAGCTGGATATACCGCTGACCGGAATGGGTATGGGTGTGGGTTTTACTTTAACTTGAATCGTCACACTCATCGATACACAACCACACCACTCCTTGGTATTGGTAATATTAGTATTGTTACACCCATAGCTAGAAGAATTTCTAGCAAACTCATTAGTCGGTGTATGTGGTCCATATCACATTGCTTGGATTTTATAGGATTTTCGTATTTTGAAATACTGTCTGGTCGACAGAATTCATGGCAGAACCTTGAAAACCATATGTCAGAATAGTTGTAGTTATAAATGCTTGATTGGATGATCGTTTCTGCTTTTTCTTTCGATTGTGTTTCATTAAAATAAAACAAGCATGTTTGAAAGATCGATTTTTCGGGAAAATGGGTCTTAAGGCCAGACTTCCACAGAAAGCGTCAACTCGAGAACAAAAAAAATGGTGTCGTATTCAATTCGATGAACTCTACAAATGCACCATATAAAGAAGTTGATGAGTGAATTTTTTATAAAAAGTGGAAAAGCCCATCTGAAAACACTCACCACTGATCATACTAAAAGGACACTTTTTTTGTGATTTGTTCTAGCTTCAAATAAGAAAAAATTCTTCAAATGCTCTAGTATGACGATTTAATCGAGCTGTGTGACCTTGCTAATTTTAAAATACTTTCAGCAAGGTTCCTAAGAGATTAATGAGTGAAGATATGTGACATGGAGTGAGAGATAAGCCGAAGTCTGAGGCTACGTACTTTGACAGCCAGCAACAATCATGTTTTATAATACTTTGACTGAAGGTATTGGTGCTCATACTGATTACGGTTGGTTAACATGACTGACTCAAGATGAAATCGGTAGGCTAGAAATTCAAAACTCAGCCGACGAATGGATTGAAGCCCATCCAATTAGAAATCATCTAAGCGTTAATTTAAGCGGCATGCTACAACTATGGTCTGATAACTGTCTTTTAGCCACACCGCATCGAGTAATTAACAAAAGTCAAAATCAAACGCGCTATTCCATCGCATTCCTTCTAGAACCAAATTTTAATTTTGTTATTCGCCCAATGAAGCTAAAAAAACAAATTTTTAAATATTTCCAACGAAAAAACAAAATGTTACCATTGGGAACAAATGTAAAAGAAATAGTATATGGTGAACATATTTTGAAAGCATTTCGACATAGTTATCCGACGTATTACAAACACACTTAAACGAATTAAATTGCCATTTTCTGAATAAAAAAATTATATCATCCAATCTTCTTTTCATAAACCTGCATCATGATAAATCATTAAGAATTTCTCCTCCAAATCTAACGATACACATGTCGAACCCATGTCAAAATGTAGCCGTCGATTTTTCAAAAGTTGGTTCTTTATTTCTGGTGAAACTTTACTTTAAAAAATCTGAAAAATTTGGGTGATCCTTACTGAAAAAAATTCAGTTTGTTCGAGAAGTAAGCTAAAAAAATAAAATTCGGTCATATTAAGTTATAGAGTGCAAATATTTTTCCGTTTAACACCTTGAGGTTTCTAGTACGTAAAGCATTAAAAACAAATCTTTGAAAAAAAATGCTAAAAAACAGAAAAATCCATTTCAAGAAAATCGCTTGAGCATGGCTCACATCTGGGACACATGTTGGTTATATTCTTTGTTGTCAAAATGTGCAAAATTCTTGAAAACCATGATAAAATCGACAAATCATACTGCTTTCAAAAGTAGAAATTTTGGGCTATTCAACCATATACAAAGCTCGAAAATCGATATTTTTGAAAAAAATAAAATTTTCTGAATAGCACAAGAAGCCTTAAGCACAGAAAACAGGAATAACAAGACTATCAATTATTTGATTTTTATGATTTTATCACCAAGTTCTTTTCCAAAAAAGCAGCTTTCTTTTCTTCGATTATCATCATTCAGCAATTTCAACTAAGAGGAAACTCACCCAATGTCCATCAACAATTACAACAATAACCAAGGGAACGAATTTTTTTCATTTATTGATTGATCATGAATTGAGATTATAGAAAAGTACGTCATTGCTCTCATTGGTGATTATTGACAACAGTCATAAAGATGAAATGAGCAGATGTATACAAACAGTTAAATGAAGACGAACATGGCGTACTCTTGCATTCAGTGTAGGTGATATGCCGTACGAAATTTTTATGACTACCTTCCAAAACCTAAATCAGCTTGACGTACTTCTGTGACTAATATGTGTTAATAAACATTTAAATAAAATCCCACATGATCGAAATTTTACTAGTTTTGGGACGTTATTCGAATTTTGATCGAACAGTTGGTCGATTTTGTTTAGAAACTTTACTCTAAATTTATCATAAAAGTTTGTTACTTTAGTGCGATTATTTTAAATTCGAATAAATAAGAAGTAATTAAAAATTGAACATAATTTATTTTATTATATCTATAATAGAGTAGAATAGATCATTGAGACTACTCTAAGTATAAATTTATTTGTTGGATTATTAGTTATAAATAAATTTAAAAAAATTAATAGTATGATTTGACCAATATAAAAAAAACAGTTGTTTTTATTCATGTAGTCAAAAACCAAATATTATCATTTATTATTGATACTACTGTAAATAAAAAAACAAACTTCATCGCAATATGTCTATCAAATTATATTTACACATATGTTTACTATGCTTACCAATTTAGAATATTTTAAGTTTTATCCATTATCATGATGGTTTCATCGATTATTATTTGATATGTCACCTCTAACTGTGATTTCTTCAACATTGTTAGAATCACATGTTTGTGTCGATTATTTCACTAATTGGTTTTATTTACTTGATGGACGTTTCGATCAACTTCGTACATTTCCTGTTGGTATTTATTGAATTATAAGTCTACTAATTTAACAATCCATAATGACATAGACGATTATTTTCGATGAATATAAAATTCATTCATATAAATTGATTTTTATTCTCTGTTTTATGCAATTTACCTACATATTTTTATGATGATTTATTTGTACCATTTCTACATCGAATTTTGAATAACTCTATTTACATCATGAGGTTGATCGTTATAAAAGATTTATTGATGAAAATGATTTAAAGGAGAATGTTATAAATGATAGTCCTAATCATAATAATATACTTTCAAACGAATGTATTCAACATACACTCAAAGGTTTTATGGATAATTAAATTATTTCTAGCGCCAATTATTTCCATGAGAGTCATTATAGTTACTATCGTATTTACTCATATCCATATAGATTGAAAAATTATGATAATATCTCAAATAATTTTCCAGGTGGTCTAGTTAAATATGTTTACCAAGTATCATTATATGATAAATGTCCATTTCAATATGAATTTTTTCTTCGAATTGTTCTATCATTTTCATTTATAAAAGAATTAACTGTAATTAATAAAAATTCGCAGAAAAACAAATCAGAAAGCGACAATCAAGATGTATTAATTATTAAATATCCTCATCTTACTAAACTCAATCTTATTAAGGCTCATGACGATTATGTCAAATTATTTTTAGTTAGCACTAAATTATATTTGTCAAATAATCTATGTCTTAATGACAATTACGAATCTTTAAAACTAGAAACACATAATTTTGACAGCGATGCAACATAGATTAATTGTGTTAATATCGATTATGTTTGCTATCATAACGTTCTTCCATTTTTAAAACATTTCAAAGGCTATTTTCTACATGTAGATAAGCCTTGATTACGTTGATTTTCAACTATTATTTAAATAAGAACAAAAGAATAGAAGCAATTGCAACTTGCTTTATATTAAAATGAAATTATTACAAAATAGAAAAGGAATCAACATTTTTGAGAAAAAAAGGTAAAAACTGAAACATCGGATAGAGAACATTAGTAAATATTCAAGAAAAAAGAAAAAAGATCTGAATATAAGTATTAAAATAGTACACTAAATATTCATTGATCCATAGAAACTTAATTCTCAAATTTTCAAGTAAAGTGGTTTAATTCATTGTTAAGTTAATGTATGTATCTGATGAGAGAATTAGATTTTTTTGCTCGATAGAGTTTTTGATTGAAGAATAATTTCCTACGAAATCATAATCGAATCTAGTTATGATGCTAAAGTCTTGAATGAAGAATTGCTCAAATATATCTTTTATAAATATCATGAATAATAGGAACTGCATGCTAAGTAAGGCATGAAAAACAAAAACGAGTGTAAAAATATTTGTATCTATCAAATAGTTATTGGTAATTATATATGTGAGAATGAGAACATGGTTTGTGTATGTTAAAAATTAAAAATATTTGACTTTGAATCTCGTCATCATTTTTCTCTACGGTTATTCTTTGTATAAATTAATAAAACTACTATTTAGGCACAAAATTCAGTGATATAATTTTGTCAATAGTGTTTTAATTGAATATTTATTTTAGATGATTGTAAAATGAGGCAGCAACCACTACATATTTCTGCAAGAATTGGTTTTTACAGCGTGTAAATGTTCCATAAAAAAAATTCAACTAAATAGTTTCATGTATGAGAAAAATATAGCCAAATTACGTTTTTATTTCAAAATAAACAACTCTGTGTGCTTCTGAATATAGCAAAATAGTCAGAAAATTTTATTTTAAACGCCATAAATCCATTATCATATGCGTCACAACTTTTTTACTGCAAGACAGAAAAGAAAAACTAAAATGTAACTCAATACTTATGTATAACCAAGACTTGATTTTTAATCTTGTTTCTTTCTGTTCTTTTCGAACTTCAGGTGCACATGTTTAAATAAGGTGCAACGTAAAATTTTGCATATTGACTAAAAACGAACTCGTTGACTCGTTCTTTTTTGCGTCGCATTTCTTTAGCATGTATAAAAGTAGAAAAAAATTCTTTTCTTACCAAATAGTTTTAAAATATAAGTGCAAGCATTTAATTCATCGATAATAAAACAAATGAGTAAAGTTTCATATTAGACAAAATTTCTTTATATATTTTATTTTGTATAGACTTTATTACAAATAAAGTGGAAGAGAAAACAGGTATGGATATAAATAGAGATGGTCGTGTTGGAGGAGGAGGTGTTACTGGACAAATAGAAAAGGCTACTCATATGGATCTAAATCGTAATGGAGTTATTGGAGGACAAAAAACTTCAGGAAGTGGAGGTAAGTAAACTATCTTTTCTTTTTCAAAATGCACTGAATAATCTTATACATCAATCAAAAAAAAGCACTATGATGAAATAGTAGAATGTTTTATTTTATGTTTAAACTTAATAAAGTTTTTCTTTATGTTCAATAGGTCTTATGGGTAAAGTTGAAAAAATAACACATATGGATTTAAATCGAGATGGACGAATCGGTGGTGGAGCTGCTCATCAAAAACATTAATATACTTTTTAATAACGTTTTTCCTTTAATTTTCACGTTGTATATAAAGTTTTAAAGCTATGCCAAACTTGCATAAATAAATGTTCTTAAAAAGACAATCGAATACAAAGATATATCAAATGTCGTTTAAGAAATTCCAGTTCTTGTTATTTTATACACCGAGCATTTTTCTTTCACACAGATTCAATATCTTTTCAATTAAACAAGTATTCGCATCGTTGACAATCATCTTTCTTCGGTGAATCAAAAAGAAAAAACAAATTTTCAACATGTACGGATCTTGTGACGTCACATATCTTGTAAGTGCAGAAAAATCACGATAAAAGCTTGGATTTTATTAGAATCTAACAACGGAAAGTTGCAAACTGTAAGTTAAGGAGATGGACCATATTTGGGTCAGACGAATGCTCTCATCACCAAACTATCTAAATTCAAATATAATGTGCTGATAATGAGTATGGGCTGAGATATTTGATTTTTAAGCTATTGACAGCTTTAGTACAAGAACATTATTTAATAAAAAAATATTGAAATTCAATTTTTTCTAGAATCATCAGCTTTTTGAAGGAGTCTGTTTTTAGAGTCCTCTTGAAATTTATTGATCACAATAGGGTCGCGATGGATTCAGTTTCTTCAGAAAATTCAGTATTAATGAACTGAGGAGAAAATTGATAGTTTTCTACCAAAACATATAGTTTTTCAATAGTTTCGATCTTATTTTTTTAAGAGGATGGTTCTCAATCAACAAAGACGAATTTCTGTCAGTTTCATCAAATTTTTCTTCCGTTCTTTTTTGAAATAAGTTTTTATAACAAGTAACGTTCATCGGTTCGATTCACTTGACCCTCGACTGTATCAGACAGAAGTATACAAGTCTCATCCATGGACAACCAGTTATGAAACAGCTGATTAAGGGAGAACTTATCACATATGTCGGATTGACTGAATTTTCATTCTGAAAAATTGAATTGGTTGAAAATTGAGTATTAAAAGCACGAGAATCGAATATTTAGCCAACGTTTTTTTATGATGTTTCACCTTCCACTATGACAAAAACTTATTTTATTTCATATAACCATTCCTACACTCGAGAAAAAAATTATTTTCTCAAAAAAACCTTTTCTCCTGAACCCAAAAAAATTCAATTCAAAATTTCGAGAAACTGACCTCAGATTCGGATTCACCGACCCCGATTTACTTTCGTCAACCTTTATGGAAAATTTTCTAAAGTGGAAGATTTTTTGACCCCGATGCAGACACATACACAAACTATTTTTTTTCATATGACCCTCCCTACAGTCGACGGAATAAAAAAATTCAATTCGAAAATTTCAGCAATAACGATGAGTATTTAAATAAATGGCTTTCTCTTTGAAGCATTAGATACTGATCAAGCATGCTATACTGAGTATAAGGATACAGCTTATATGCACATTATACAGTAGTTTTTCGATAACTTCAAGCACTTTAGGTGTTATTAAATTGGAATGAATTGTTCGTGTTCATAAGAAAAATTTATATTAGTGACGTACTCATAAATAAGCTCGTCAATTTTTTATTCGTTTTAATGAAACTGAAGTTGTTAGAGTTTCGTGCACAGGAGAACGTTCCATCAAATTACTAGATTTCAGTTGATATCTAGCATTTTTTTTTCTGATTATTAAATGCAAATGGGATAAATCAACAGAAGGTATACGAAAAGCTGTAGAAGTCCTTTAAATTATAGAAGTCGACTATATTATTGTCGAAATATCCGTTATTCAACTTGAACCATGCTGCTAAATCGTTAATCAGACAAGCCAGACAGCAAAAGTAATTCTCTTTGAATGGATAGTTCTCACATGAACGAAATAAATTGGCACAAGCGACTGACTAGACAGAATAGTAATATTCTCTATGAACTGTGATTTTTTCTTCAAATAGTGTTTAGTTTTGAACTGAGATTATTGTTGTTCAAATAAATATTGCAAAAGTCTACTTATAAAAAATATTGATCAATAATTGCAGTTTTCTTTAAATAATCATAAAAAAACTAATGTAAAATGAAAAGAAAATATGCAGTATTATTTAATCCACTCTCTTTTCTTATTTTTATTTTGTTATTTTCGAACATGCATAACTATCAAACCATCTATCATCGTTGAATCGACTCTTCTTCATAATCACTTTTCAAAGTTTTTTTTTGTTGTATAATTAATCAGATGATCGATATTTGATAAATTATGGTCATTGAAGATTCTCTGTCAAAAATATATATCTAATATTCATCAATATCCTATTTCAACAAACAAAACGATGTATTTTTCTGTTTTTATAACATCAAGATGAAAATATATGAATATATGAATACGCGCAATCTGTTTTTATTTTTGTAATCATCCAACTGTGTAATCGAGTAAACAAGGTCTATTCATACCTTAATGTAATAATACATATTCGCAAATATATTCATATAAGTTACCTACAGCACACACTGGACGATAGAAAAAACAAGAGAGAAAGAAAAAGATGACTCACACAGTATTACGATAAGTAGCCTTTGAAGCGCTGTTATTATGTATTTACATTTATTGTGTTGATGCTTTGGTATATATGTGATATTTGATAAAGCTGGTAACAAAACGAATACCTAACAACGACGACAGGTCTACAAATTTCAAAATATGTTTTCGTTATTTCTATTATCTTTCTTTCCATTTCTAATTTTACTTCTAATTCCTCAAACGAATTGTAAAAATGTTACTTTTGTTCCACAGCCAATTCGGATAACAATTGCGAGTCTTCCACAACCCTATGCTTCATCATCGGCGTCTAAACCACCTCAAATCATTGCAGTACCTTCAAATCCTCGTCTCTACGTTCCTAAGGGATTCACTGTGAAGTTATATATGAGTGGGCTTACAGCACCACGTTATCTTATTTATACACCTACAAATGATATCCTTGTTAGTGAATCAAGTGCTAATCAAATCTCTTGTCTAGTAGATAATAATCACGATGGTTATCCAGATCAACGCTTAACATTCGCTAATGCATCTAATGGACTCAATTATCCATTTGGTATGGCTTTTAATAATGGATATTTTTATGTTGGTAATCGAGATGCTGTTCGACGTTATTCTTGGACTAATGGAAGTCGACAAATTACAGGTACAGGTGAGGTGCTAATGACTTATGGTCAAAATGGTCATATAACACGAACTATAGCTATATCACCTATTGATAATCGAATGTTTGTTAGCATCGGTTCAGCATCTAACGTTGATGTTGAAGCATTGCCACGAGCTTCTATTCAACAAGCTAATATCAATGGTACTAATCAAACAACATTTGCTTATGGTCTTCGAAATGCTGTTGGTTTAGCATTTCATCCAATAACTAATGAGCTACATGCAACATGTCAAGAAAGAGATGCGCTTGGTGATGATCTTGTTCCTGATTTTTTTTCACGTATTCAACAAAATGATTTTTATGGATGGTCTTTTGCTTATTTGAGCTCAAATTTACTTGATCCAAGACGACTTCTAAGCAATGGAACAAGTGAACGACCTGATCTAGTAGCACTAACCCGAACACCTGATGTTCTTTTTCAAGCTCATTCAGCAGTACTTGATATGAGATTTTATACAGGCAGTCAATTTCCTATTCGATATCGAAATGGTGCTTTTGCAGCATCTCATGGTTCATGGAATCGAAACAGTGGAACTGGTTATAAAATTATTTTTATTCCATTCGATAACAATACTAATCGACCAATGGGCTACTATGAAGATTTTGTTTATGGATTCCTAACGAATCCAACTGGACCTGACACCTTTGGACGGCCAGTTGGTTTACTCGTTCTAAAAGATGGTAGTCTTTTATTTTCTGAAGATGGTAACAATCTTCTTTATCAAGTACAATACAAACCATAATACTAATACTATCACGAGAAACACTATTGATAATATAATCTGTCATTGTTTCAAGTTTTATTAAAAAAACAAGAATAATAAAAGAAATAAAGAACACGAATTTACTTTTTTATGCATGCCTAATTGATCCAGATGATCTTTCGGCATGGCCGCGCATCGGTCACCCTACCGTAAGGTAGGTTTATACGCACTAAAAATAAAGAAAACTCTCTCGAAATCCAAAATTTTACTACTAACAGATTACGAAACACGTTGCAACTTCTGAGATACGTTGTTGATTGGTTATATAAATCGTATTTTTCCTCAAATAAGTGTCTGAAAACGAATTTTTTGACGAATTTCACCAAAAAACTATCCGTTCTGAGTCCCTTTATATTTCATTTTTTGTCCAAAAAACAGGCAGAATTTTAATGTCATTCTGCTTTGAACGTGAAGCTGATATTCTCACGCGATAGAACTATCTCTGTACTATTCGCAGATACGAGAAATGATGGGTTTTCATCATGATAATTAAAAGCTGTAAGGTCCCTAATCGTCCCCATTAGAAAGTCAAAAAATAATGAAATTCCGTAACGAAGTGAAATTCCGTAACGGACAGTATTTACAGTTATTTGATTTGGTACAGCTATGCTTTCTAGGAAATCAATTGATATTTTGAAAGCTCATGGGAAACTGAATAACTTTTATATAGAGCATTTATTTGTATGTCGTTTCGTTACGTAGTAAAATGCTTAACTTCTGCATCACCCTAAAAATATTTCCATTTTATGAAATTCCGTAACGGTCAGTATTTGTTGAATAACTCAACTATGACTAGACAGAAATAGATAAAATTTTTACTGATAATAGATCTCAGCCATCTCTATCTATGATAAAAATTTTAGCAAGTTTGCCTTGATTTTTGAGAAGCTACAGATGTCACAATATGAAAAAATGAAATTCCGTAACGCGCGGCCACGCCCTTTGATAAACAGCGTGTCGGATCAGGATGCAGCTGAAAAGAACATCTTATCCATACCCTTATATCTGATATCAATAAATGAATTTTATTTATAAATATTGCACTTGTTATAAGAGAACCTCCAA